TCCAAGAGAATTGAGCATTCTACAAGCCTTACAATCCTTCTTTGAAAGATTAAGGCAAGTAGAAAAACAAAAACAAAAATTAGTGCCTTATTTCTGAAACAGACTTTTTTTCTTCTCTTCAAAATTGACTTTCCATTTAAGTGAGTATTATTTTTAATTGCTTGGGTCACTATTTAAAATAATTTGAACATGTCTTATTTACCTTTGACTACTGGTACCTCACTCAGAAAGGAAATGCTCAAATAAAGTTGTGATACACATCTGGAGCTGAAGGAGCTTTTCAAAAATGAAATAAGTATTCCCTGCTTCATAATTTCTTGCCTACTTGCCTCTTAGATTGCTCTCAACTATTATTTGCAGTTTGATTTTTGTAAATTATGTTTTGTAATTAATTTTGAATTTTTTGTATATTATATTGAAGGTGTGCAATGTCTATCTTTTGTGAATTATGAACCTAGGAAATTCTTTCTGTCTGTTAATTGTGGTGTTTCTTTTTCTAGGGAACAAAGAAGGAAGAGATTGAAGGTGAAGAGGAAGTGTCTGGTTTAATTCAGCCTGCAGAAGTGTTTGCTCCCAAAAGCCTGGTGTTGGTATCCAGATTAGATTATCCAGAAATTTTTAGGGTAAAGAACTCATAGTTATCATTAATTTATATTATTGTATAAAACTCTTTTGAGTGAACCATGGTGCAAGTTCTTTGCATTGATAATATCATTAGATCAATTTAGGAATTCACCAATAAAATGAAATGAGTGTGAACATAAGAAATTGCATGTATGTTGGATGAAATGAACACCCGAATAAGTTAATGTGACTACTTAAATTCTAAGGATATACTGTTTGTTTTAAAATAGGTCCCATATTTATTGAATCAAAAATTTATAAATCCCAGAGAAATAATTTGATTAACTACAGTAATTTTAAAATGCATTAGTGATTTAACAACTTTGTATATGTTTATTCACCTTATGAGGAATCAGGTTCAAGTAAATAGGATCGGTGTTTGAGATTTCAAATAATTCTGATCATAGTCCTGCCAACATAGCTTTAAAACATTGTTTACTTCCAGATCTTTTCTTCTTTTAGGTACTCAGAATTTTCAAATGTAAGAAAAAATTTTAATTTATTTATAAATATATGTATTAATATGTAATTTCTGTAAAGCTTTTCCAGAAAGTGAGTTTATATATATTCTAAAAGAATGAAGTTAGTATCAGATTTCAGTGACAATGGTTAAGTCCTAACAAATACTAAATGTGCAGAGTCACAGATTTCAATAACCTCAAAGATACATAAAGATTATATTTTATCTTCTGTTTTGCCACCTGCCTTCTGAGCTCAAAGTGTTAATCTTGTCATCCTGTCTCTATTTTGCTATCCTTTGTTATAATTTACATGTTAAATTTTTCTGTAGAATAAATGTTCTGGATTTATAAGAACCACAAAACAAGATAAAATTTCTACATTTTTATCTTGAAATTTGGAGTTCTGCAAAGTAAGTTGAGGCAAAAACAATTTAGCCCTACAGATTTCCTAGAGTAGTTATCTGAGCACAAACACCTGTTTTACCAATTATGGATTTCTGCTTTCTGTAAACTCATCTGAGAAGCTCATTTGGAGGTTCTGGTTCTAGAGGGAAATTTAATAAACTTAATAATATTTGCTACTTAAAATTTATTCCACATTAACTGTAGAATATACTTTACTAGGTTCAAAGAGAAATTTTCCTAGGAACAGATTTCCACCAATTTATTTTTAGTGCTTTTTCCATGAAATAACTACATGCATCTTTGTTTTTGCAGGCTTGCCTGGGTTTAATCTACACTGTGTATGTGGACAGTCTCAACGTCTCCTTGGAAAGTCTCATTGCAAACCTTTGCGCCTGCCTTGTCCCAGCAGCTGGAGGGTCTCAGGTAAATAGAATAGAAAGGAAGATGAAGAAGGACTGTTCCTCTTCCCCTCTGCTCCAGTTAATTTAATTTATGAAGAAAGGAAAAGAAAGAATTCTTTAAATATTTTTGTTTTAAAGAGGATCCTAGTTTAGTTAAGCACTGTCCCTATGGTCTGCCTTCTAGACACTCAAGAATCCATTCTTTCCTTAGTGTCACAAGGTTAATTTTAACACAGGGTTCGTCTTTCTCATGGCATAATTAGAAGTCATATTTTGTGTAACTTGAACTCTAGTTTATATTTTCTTAGAAATACACTTTCTTAAGTTGAACTTTTAAATTTACTCTTTTACCTTTCTTACTCCTCTATATAATTATACCTCATTCTCATTAACTTAAATCAAAAAATGTTTGATAAAAATTAGGAGGTAACATTAAGAAAACGCTCAACACAGTTCTTTGTAACATTATAACTACTTATGAATAGATTTGTTTATTCTGTATGTCCTAAGATTTTCATATTTGTCTCTAACGTAGAAAAATAAGAACCTCAGCTGCTATGATTTATTTATTGTTTCTAGGTCAGCCATACTTTAAAAAGAATAAACTCCTTCCCTTAAGCCCTAAAAACGATTAGTTAATAATTTATTTTGTTTATTGTTATATAATATTGGAAGAGGATAGCCCTCTAAAAATCACATTGTCCTCAGTCTGACGAAGATGTTACTTATAGTGAAATTGGCATCCCTTTTCCTTGCCCTTTGCCTTTTTTTTTTTTTTTTTAAGACAGAGTCTCACTCTGCTGCTCTGAGTAGAGTGCCGTGGCATCAGCCTAGCTCACAGCAACCTCAAACTCCTGGGCTCAAGCGATCCTCCTGCCTCAGCCTCCCGAGTAGCTGGGACTACAGGCATGCGCCACCATGCCCAACTAATTTTTTCTATATATTTTTAGTTGTCCATCTAATTTCTTTTCTATTTTTAGTAGAGACGGGGTCTCGCTCTTGCTCAGGCTGGTCTCGAACTCCTGAGCTCAAACGATCCACCCGCCTCGGCCTCCCAGAGTGCTAGGATTACAGGCGTGAGCCACCGCGCCTGGCCTCCTTTGCCTTTTTAACTGTCTTCTGTCTCTCATATCGTCTTTGTCTTAAATTTTTATCCTCTTTTTTTTCCTCCTATTCTTTCCTCCTTTATTCTTCTACCTCTTCTCCAAGGGCAGAATATTAAATGTGACTCTGGTCATAGTTGGGTCTAAACTTTAAAGTAGCAGAATTGTTTATATGGGCCTTTACTAAAGTTTTTGACCTAACATTTTATTATCTTTTAACCAGTTATGACTGTCAGTGATTTTTGTGTCTCATCTCTACTACATTGTCAACTTTTGACTACTAAATTTTCTTGTACTGTTTTCAGTTGTACAAAAAATAAACTCAAATGTTTTGGGCTATCCACTGTTGCCCTTTGCATCTGTTAATTGGATCTTATATGATCATTTGCTCTAAAATTGAACTTCAAATGGATTTTTATTTAAGAAAATGTCTGATATCATTTGTGTGTGTTTATTCCATTCTGCAGAAGCTGTTTTCCTTGGGTGCAGGAGATAGACAGCTGATCCAGACTCCTTTACATGATAGTCTTCCCGTCACAGGCACTAGTGTGGCTCTCCTGTTCCAACAATTGGGTATGTCTTTTCTCCCATTTTCAATGTTCTCTTTTTTCTTGTATGAAAAAAGATTTATTTTAAGTTCATATCACCTGACATGAATCAAGATAAAACAAATCATTTAATATTTTTGATATATAAACATATAATTTTGTGGGTCCTAATCTTACCAAGTGTTCATTCTTTAAATAAATTTTTAACTCAGGCCCCTTTTGTTCTTAGGTCAACTAGACTTTTAGAAAGTGGACATATTTTCTTTGTGCTAAATGATGAATAGATGGTATATTTAATATTTTTCTTAGATGAACTGCTTTTGAAGAAACCTTGTCAGATGGGACTAAAAGTCCCATCTTTCTCATCCCACCATTGGTATGGGACTTTATCTCCAATTTTCTAGCAATAGCTAGGATGAAAAATACGGAGGAAGATACTAGGAAGTATCTTCTGTACATTGGGTAACTTGTTATTTTATTAAGAAATAACATAACTTAAAAGTAAGGATGTTTCAGACCAGGGCTGCCCAGAGATTCTGTTTACTTTACTTACTTGCCCTTTATATATGCCTGCCTATGAGTGTCCCACTCTCTTGATTCAGTCATTGTCATTGTTCTCCATCTGTGTTTATCTTTTCCTGGTTATGTTGAAACCGTCCCTTCCCTGGGGTCCATACTCTGCCTCTCCGTGGAATTCTTAGTTCCTTGCACAGAAATTGTGCTCTCTTGTTTCCCTCCTGTCTCATGTTCAATTTTACCTCTAGCTCAGCTCTGTAACTTATCACTCCTTTTTCATTAGTGTCCCCATCCTTATTCTTCTCCTTTAACTTCAATCAGTGAAAATTAGAAAACCTTAGAAGAGATTAGTGTAAATGAGTAGAGTCTTCCAGTATCTGAATAAAAATGAATGGTGATACCAATCCCAAAAGTAGTTCTTCCCCATTACATCTATCTTCTCCTCAGGAGTTCCAACTCTAAAAGTACATCTCCCTTTGGTCAAAGGATACAAAATTTCAGTTAGGAGAAATAAGTTCAAGAGATCTATTATGCAACTTGGTGGCTATAGTTAGTAACAATGTATTATGTACTTGAAAATCACCAAGAAATAGACTTTTAAGTGTTCTTACCACAAAAAAAAAAAAGTATGTGAGGTAATACATATGTTAATCAGCTCCATTTAACCCGTCTACAATATGCATATTCAAAACATCATGTGGCACACCATGAATACATACAACATTTATCAACTTAAAAAAATTACATCTAACTTCTCTCTGTGAAAGTCTCTACTCATTGAGTCATCATAATTAAGTCTTAATATATTTAAAGCAGTTTTCTTTAATGTATAAAATAGGTAATCCCTTTCTGGTGGCACTTCTCCAAAGAACATCTTGTTGATTACATCCATAGTCCTTACTAACCTTTGACTTAATTGCTTTTAGCCAAGCAGCGTTCACCTGATGTTTTTACTTTTAGAAGGGGCTAAATACCTGTAAAGGGTCGATCAAGGCAAAAATTTACTATGAAGAAGAATAGAAGAATATGACACAGATAAAATTATTTCACAGTCCCAAATGCTACCACTTCTCTTGAACTTGTTTTTTGTATTTTTGAATTTTTTTAAATTTTTAATTTTTTTAGGGACACAGTCTTGCTCTGTCACCCAGGCTGGGGTGCAATGATATGATCATAGCTCACTGTAACCTTCAACTCCTGGGCTCAAGCAATCCTCTCACCTGGGCCTCCCAAAGTGCTTGGATTACAGGCATGAGCCACTATGTTTAGCCTCTCTTGAACTTAATGAATCCCATGTAAATCTCTCATGCTTTGAGTTGTACAATGATTTTGTGGGGAAAGGAAGCGGTTGTTACTGCTATTTAGTTGCCAGGACCAGGGGTATTAAACATTTTGCAATTTCTAGGATGTTTATGCACCAGAAGAATTTTTACCCCAAATACCATTAGCATTCCCACTAAGAAAAATAGATACAATATAAATTTATAAAACCTGGATTTCTCTTCTAGTAACAGTGGCCCGTGTAATTCAGATTAACCCTCTTAACAATGACAACTAGAAAAGACATACAAATTTAAACAATATCTGCTTGAAGGCATCACAGATAGTAAAGAATTACCAAGCCATGATCCCGGAGAAAAACAAGTGAGCCAGACATTTGGGACCATTTTTTCAAAAGACACTTACTGATTTTGGAAGAAGTAGCCGAGAATTTGATCAGCACTGTTGATATTCCTATGGGGGAAAAGAGAAAACTGAAGTTCAAGTTTTACCAAGGTGGATTCCTTTATAAAGCTCTTGTACTTTGAGTTGAGACCATGAAGAACTACAACCTAGGAGGGGGTAAAAATCAGAAGGAGAAAGACTCCCTTAGGAGCTGAAGTGCAGCTTGAAATCATTTCAGTTCCTTGACTTGGATTAAGGTGATCCTTGATGCTGCTGTCCCTATCCATCTTAGAGAAGTAAAAGTAAATCCTCTCAGAAACGAGATAACTACATTCTAGGCCTCCAAAATGTCTCTGAATTTTTATATACATGTCCTGCACTCAATCAGCAACAACCAGGAACATGAGAACCAAAACTAATGAAAGAAATACAAAAGAAACTATAGACAATATAAAAGGACCCACAGGGGCTCTAGCAAATAGAGATATCAGATGCAGAAATTAAAATAACTATGCTTAAAATAGCGAAGGAGATGAACAGTCAACATTGAGAATTTGGGGAATGACGTCAGCCAGATGGCACAACAGGAAGTTCTAGCCCCCCTTCCCTGACAGAAGCACTGACTTAACAAAGATATACTGACAAAAATACCTGTATAACAATTCCAGAATCCAGATAAGTTGTCACGGTACCCAGGCTTGCACAAAGTCAAGAACAGCAGCAATGAAATGCGTAAGTAGAGCAAGTTCATGTTACCTACATCAGCCCCTCCCCCAACTCTTCCAGGTTTGGGGGTGCAGGGTGGAGAGAAGATTGGAGCTCACATCCCAAATTCTGGCTGTTGAATAGGCTGCCAGAGGGACTTGTTTCTGTGTCACCTCAATGGAAGCACAAGCAGGAACTGGCATAGTTTGGATGTCTGCAGTGGCTGAGAACCAAGAAGGGGGAAGCTTACTGTAGCGTGCAAAGGTTGGTGTGATTGGGAGAAGGCATACAACCTGAGGCTTATCCCTCAGAAGGAAGGGAAAGAAGGAGCATTTAGTGTTGTGACTTTTCGGTTTTGCCTGAGTACTGGTGAAAATGTGAACAACTTGAGACTTTTATTCATTGCTAATAGGAATGTGAAATGGTACAGCTATCTTGGAACACAGTTTGACTTTTCTTTTTAAAAGTTAAGCAAACCACATTATTCAGCTATTTCACTCCCCAGGCATTTACCCAAGGAAAATGTTGTACATGTCCATAAAAATATTTGCATGTGAATGTTCATAGCCATTTTATTTATAGTAGTAAAAAACTGGAAATTAACATAATGTCTACCAGTGATAATTGATAATGGAAATAGATTAAAAAAATCTGTGGTGTATCCATACAATTAAATACTACTAAGCATTATGAAAAAATGAATTGTTGATACATACAACATAGATTAACCTGAAAATAATTATGCTGAATGAAAAATATCAGACAAAAAGAATGTATACCGTACAATTAGGTATTTATAAAGTTCTAAAAAAGGTAGTCTAATCTATAGTGACAGAAACAGTTCATTGGTTGCTTTGTTGGTGGGAAGTGAGATATTACAAAGGGACATGAGGAAACTTTTTGGATGGTGTTTGTGTTCATAATCTTGACTGTGGTGATGGTTTTACAGGTATGTACATATGTTAAAATGTGTCAAATTCTAAAAGAAAATTGAAAACATATTCACACAAAAACTTCTACATGAATTTTACAGAAGCATTATTCATAATAGGCAAAAAATGGAAGTAACCCAAATGTCTGTCAGCTGATGAATTGATAAACAAATTGTGGTATATCCACTTATTCAGCCATAAAGTAGAATGAAGTATTGATACATACTACAACATAGATGAATCTTGAAAACATACTAAGTGAAAGAAGCCGGGCACAAAAACCTGGCTTATATTATATGAGTCTGTTGATATGAAATGTCCAGAATAGGCAAATCTATAGAGACAGCAGATAAGTGATTACCAGGAACTAGAGGGAAGGGACCATGAGAAGTGACTGGTAATGTGAATGGGGTTTCTTTTGGGGAATGAAATGGAGTTAGATACTAATATGCTTGCACACCTTGTGACTATACTAAAAGCCACTGAATTGTATTAATATATTTTAAAAGAGTAAATTTTATGGTATGTGAATTATTTCTCAGTAAAGGAAAAACTGTCAGAGCTTTGTCAAAAGAACTCAGGAACCACGTTGAAGAGACTCGTAACTGATCTAAGACAGTAGAACTTGAGCTTCAAAAATTATAATAATTGTAATTGGTTGAGACCCAACAAATATTTTAGGATCCATGAATTCATAATATTAAAATAAAAAGGAATTTTCACCTACTTCAGAATATGTCAGAGAACCAACTTGTTATCTTGAAAACTTACCAAGCAAAAGAATCATGGTAACCCAATAGTAGTTGAGGGGAATTATCTTTTCTAAAAAAGTATTCTAATTAATAAATGGAAAAGAAATGATAGAAATAGAGTATCATCATTTTACAGCCCTCAATGAATGAAGATCTAAGCCTCAATAGCTGTTTTCACAGAAAGAAAACCAAGCTATATCATGTGCCTTACCTTACCAAACCCTACTTACAGTTTTGCCAGAGATTAAACCTGAACTACACCAAGAGAATGTAATTACCAAAATCCAGGCTATTGGAAACTCTGTCAGTCAAATGTCTCTGGTCCTTTAATAAATAAATTACAAGGAAAAGAAAGGAATAGAGGAGGAACCTCTAGATTAAATGAGATTTGAAAGATAGCCAATTTTTTAATAGAGTGAGACTGAACCATAGTGTTTAGGGATGTACTTTTGCGT